TTTTTTTGGACCTTATATTTATTTTAGTAAACTTGTATTGTATCTTTATCGTAAAGTATTATCCTAAAACGTCAAAAGGGCGAATAAAGTACTATGCTTTAGTTTATTGTGATTTACTTTTATTTTGTCGGAACTTAAATATATAGTAAATATATTTAGTTTGTTTTAAATTTATTTCTAGTAAGATATAAATGTACATTGAATTAATGGCATAAAAGTAGATACTAGATAGGAAAAAAATATACGCGAAACCGGCGGTTTAAAACCGGACCAAACCGTTAGGTTTAGGTTTGAGTTTTTTTCAAACCGGTCAAAACGGTTTGATTTGAAAATTTGTCAAAAATCGGTAAAACCGGACCACTTACACCCCTAATCCTTAGCATGAGTATAGCTCTTCAAATAAATTTTAGGGATAATTGCAGCCGAGGTCACAAACCTTTCAAACAGTGGCAGACTTTTCCCTAATCTTTCAATCGTTGCAGCCATCACCCCAAACCTTTCAAATCGTAACAACTGATGCCCCAATGAATGGTTTTCATCCAATCTGTAGTTAGTTGACCCAAAAAATTAATTTTGACCACATTTTAATCAATTTTAAAAGGGCAAAACAATAATTTTTGACCAAGCATGTTCAGAAACAAGAGGAAAGGGAATCACTTCCGAGAGGTTTACATGAGTTGAGCTTTGAACAAGCCAATTCTAGATTTCAAGATGGGTTGGATGGACCAAGATTGATCTCATATCCATCCCATGCTTGGCCAGTGAAGCTATGGGTTCATTTTTTTTTTTTTGAGTATTATTAACTATGAAATGTTTAAATGTAGATAACTTGAAATGCTAAATATTAATGTAATCAATATATCAAACATTGTGAAATTTATAATAATTTGTAAGAGTAGAACAAAGTATTTTATTTATTTTTTTACTTAGAACTTTTATTTGATGGTCAAAATTTTGCTTCTTTATTCAGAGCTCTTAACTTTCCCTTTAAAAGACATAATAATATACCAATATAATAATAGCTTTATGTAATCTTCATAACTCAAAAGCATGATCTTTGAATATTCGTTTTTGGATAGGTTGTTAATGATACCATTGGCGTATGAACAGAGACTACTGGAGTTCTCGAAGCTCAGGTTTGCAATTTGGAGTAAAAAAATAAAAATAAAATCCTTGCATTTTGCTGCAATTTCTAAAATGCAAAACATCAAGTAAAGTTTCTGTGTGTGTGTGCAGACTGAACAAATCAGCAGGATTGTTAACGATCTGGATTCGATCCATTTTTCGATCAAGAAGGCTTCACAGACGGTCAAGGAAATTGGAAGGCAGGTCAATCTCTGAAATATTTTCATTACTTAATTCGATTTCTCAATCAGGTTGCAACTGATCGAGTTAATGACCCTCTCTTGCTAACGCACGAATAGAAAATAGGTCATGGTAGCCCTTTGGTAAGAACATTGGCTATTTGTTTTCTGCTAGAAACAAATGAAATACAAACCAGCCTGCTTTCAATCTTCACTTTGCTAAAATGCTATCAACTTCAACATGCTTGGTCCTATCATGCTGAACAAGACTCTGAGTAATGCTGATGTAGTTTTATTATCACGGTAGAGCTTCATTGTATTCTCTTGAACAACTCGCAGTTCCTTTAACAACATCTTTAACCACAATAACTCACATATTCCTTGAGCCATTGCTTTGAATCAGCTTGAGCACTGGATCTTGTCACCACATTTTGCTTCTTACTTGTCCAAGTAACTAAATTCTTGCCAACAAAAGTATAATAATCAGATGTAGACCTTCTATCATTCACATAAACAGCCCAACCAATATCTCTATAAGCTTCAACTTGAAGATGACGATTATCTGAGAAGAGTAGACCTTAATTTGGATAATGTTTCAAGTACCGTAGAATTTTCGAACAGTCTCCATGTAAACTTCACAAGGAAAATGCATAAATTTACTTACCACACTAGCTACAAATGCAATGTCAGATTTGTATGAGACAAATATATTAACTTAAAAAAACCTTAGTACCGGCCTCTATCAACTGCATTACTATCGACAGTGGCTTCTAAATTATGATTAGGATCAATTGTAGCATCTCTTGGTTTGAAACCTAACATGCTTGTTTCTTTGAGAAGATCTAGAACATACTTCCTTTGAGAGAGATATTCGTTTACTCACCTTGCCACTTTAATTTCCAAAAAATATCTCAAAGTTACCAAATCTTTAATTTCAAACTCTTTAGCTAGCATGCCTTTGAGGCTTCTTATTTCATCATCACTTTTAGTGACAATATTTTCATTGACGTGGACAATATGGAAACAATTTTCTCTCTTTTTTTTTTTAATTGTGCTTGATAAACATAGTATATCACCTTGACTTTGAGTATAGTGACATCAACGAACTGCTTTAGTGAATCCTTGAAACAAACTCTAGGTGACTGATTTAATCCATACAAGGATTTCTTTAGTTTGTGCACTATTTGACTTCGAAGGCTGTTGGGTATTGACACTTTGTTGTCAATCAAATTATATGTTTTAATTGTGGTTCAAAATGTAAGTCTAGTTTGGTTGAAAGCCAACTAAGACATGTGATGAAAATGTTTAAATAGTAGGCAAGTTGTCCTTAAATTAAGGGGTGTGGTTTGTGTAAGACTAGGAGTGGTAGTTGACAGGATAGTTGGTAGATAAATCTTGTAATATCTATCTAACTTTGTTGTGTAAGAGTTGATAGAATAGTTGATAGGATGTCTTGTAAAAGTCTACAAGTGTGGCTATTTATGGAGCCGGTTTGTAAGAGAAATACATGAAGGAAATATATAGAAAAATTGTTCAAATGTGGACATCCAAAGAGCCTTTCCTTCTCCTCTGTTCTGGTCTTATACCAGCAGAGTGAATGCTTATATTTTACTTATGTTTTACTTGTTTTATGTTATGTTTTAATGTTGTTCATCACTTCCATCTTCCCCACACAAAACCACATTTTTATTGCGTTGTTAAACTCTATTTTGTTGAGCCATTGATTAGCTCATGCATCTCCCTCGATCTGACTTGTTCTTCACCATGAAGATGGTGATCCTGTAGAAGGATGAACCTCTCATTTCTTCACACCATCGAGCACAATATTCCGCACAAATGGAAGAGCTTCGACTCTTTCAGATTCTACAAAGGCATCTTCAAATCCAAAAGGCAGTTCCATATGCATAATTCCTCTTTAGCTCACCTATGATGATCGGACTTGGGGTCGGGTATCGGATACAGATACATATCTAGGAGTCATATCCTTCTCATATTAAAATTACAGTTAAAAATATCCAAATTTTGGATACGGGTATTAGGATATGTCTTACACTTTTATTTATTTTAAAAATGATAGAACAATTATTTTATTTTATTGTAATATAAGTATTTATAGTTTTATAATTAATAATATTGAATTTGTAATAATTTAATTACTAAATATAAAAATTGGCATGAATAGAAATAAAATATGAAAAATTTGGTACACCAAGGAACTCAAATATAAATATTGGACAATGTTTTGAATAAGATCAATTTAAATTGTCATTTACTTATACGCAAATTAACTGATGTTGATTGTCAAAAAATGAACTCATAAATTACTTTGTTTATCAACTCTTTCGATAAAATTAATTTAATCAATTGAATTATAATTTGAAATCAATTTAAATTTAAAGCTAAAATAAATTCTTTTTAGAAAATGTAAAAAAAATAAATAATATCAATATATCATTTTAAAAAAATTATAGATATAAATATAAATTTAATATATAAAAAAAGATATAGCACTAAATCATTTTAATTATAAAATAAAAATTCGCACATATAAAATATAAGAAATAAACAATTTTAATAAAAAAAAATTCAAATAAAATAAGTTTGATCATACAACTTATTTCATAAAATTTTATTAACTTTATAATTTGATTTACAAGAGTCCAGCCCATATAACAATTCTAAAAGGGAAAATTAGCTCAAACCCTACATATAAACTATACATTTCAAAATTCATGTTGAAAAGTTTTTTATACAAAAATCGGATCTTAATTTAATTTTTTTTAACATTCTAATATTAAAATCCTAATTTCCTCTACCGACTCTCTCACTCTCTCTCATCTTCACCTCATAATCTCTCTCTCTTCCTTCNCCTCATCATCTCTCTCTCTTCCTTCTTCTCCGTCGCGTCCCTCCAAGACCCACCACTATTCCCCAAACCCAATTATTTTCCTCCCTCCCTCCTCACGTCGACGGCGTCGACGTCACGTCGACGGCATCGTTATCTAGATGAAGAAGATCTAAGCGGCGGGTGTGTTGTGGTGTGGTGTGGTGTTGATGTTATTTGTGGTGGTGGTGAGTGGAGGTTGCGACTGTGATGGTGGCGGTAGACGATGGGGAAGGTGGCGGCGACGGCGGTTCTCTCATCTCCTCTCCTTTCTTTCTTCACTATCATCTTTGTTTGAACTCTCGTCTCTTCCCAATCCCCCTCTCTCGTCTCTCCCTCCTCGCTCTCTCCTCTTTCTATCAACTGAATCCTATATCATTCTCGTAACTTCTATTTAGTCGAGAATCTTCAATTGAATCCTAAAACTTCATCGAAACATCAATTGTTAATTTCCGGTCAGGATTGCTTCTCAGCGTAAGAGTCGGAGAAGAAGCTAATGATCATTGGTTGCAGGAGCTAGAGAAACAGCATCTATTGAGCGATGAAGATGAAGATGAAGAGGTTCTTGGTGACCAACAGTGAGTGGTCTGATATGATCCAGAATCTGACCAACAGTTTGGGTTTGGTGCTTTTGTTGTTTCAGACAGAAGAGGCTTATGCTTGGGGTGGGGAGGATTTCGGCCTGTGGGGAGGTTTGGACCTCATTGGTGGTGGCTTTGTGTAAACAGGGCGTTTCCAGATGTGTTTTCTTCCAGCCACTTTCATCGATCGACTGTGCTCAAAGGTTTAACGGCGCCAATCCGGATTGTCCTGCTCCGTCTCCCTCCCCTGCTGTTGTTATGACCCTTCTTGTTTTTCTTTCAGCCATTTGCCTGATTAGAGGTTGTAGCTTTGGTCGGTGTTGGATTTGGGCTTGTTTGGATTTCCATTCTTTTACTGTTTTTGGGTCCTGAATGGTTATTGTGGTAGCTTTGCTTTAGAAGCACTTCATCTCTTTGAGGAGATTGCATTTCGAAAAAAAAAACTTCAACTTTTGAATTAATCAGAATGTTAGAAACGATTGGTTGTTTGATAAGGTGGGTTATCGAACACGAAATGGTATTAGAAGAAAAAAATGAAATTAATATCGCAAACAATTTGGTTCATTGTGACTAACTATTAAAATGTAACCTTAAAATTCCAATTGGAGGTGATGGTGGTGATGACAGGTGGTGGATTGTGGTGCTAGTCCGTGGTGTGAGCGAATTTGTCCGTTGTGACCAAATTTGTGTGTACTGTGACTAATTGTGACCAGTTTTGTGTTAATTGTAACCGAATGTTACTTGAATATGATCATGTCACAATCGGTCATAATTAACACAAAATTGGTCACAAATGGTCACACTGAACACAAATTTGGTCACAGTTGGTCACATTGAAGGCTGCAACTGAAGTTGGTGGTGTATGCGAACTTTTCTGATCCAGATCGCGATTTGACTACCGGGTAGTTCATTGTGACTGTTTGTGATCATTTGTGGCCGATTGTGACCTTTTGTGACTCGTTGAGACCGATTGTGACCGTTTGTGGCCGATTGTGACCAATCCATGGGTTGGGGGTGTGATTTTCAATTTTTTGAAAATTTTGAAATCGTCGGAACGGTCGCCGGAGAAGTCGCCGGAGCAGTGGCCGGACCGGTGCCAGAGATGGAGGGAGGTGGTGTAGTGAGGAGATGGGGTGGGTGAGGTGTCATGGGGTGGTGTAAATAATTAATATATATTATATTATAATTTAATGTTTAATATATTATAATTTAATATTTAATAAATTTATTTAGCACCTGATGTTTGATATATTTTAAGAAGTTTGTTATTTATGAAATGTGAACTTTAAAAATAGGAACTATGTATTGTTCACATTCTAAAATTCGATCCAACCCACTTCAACCTATTAGGTCACCCATCGTCTTCCCTCTATTGTCTTCTTTTCTTTGTTATTTTCTTTCTACAGAGCTAGAGGCAGAAATCCAGAAACAAGACTTCCCAACTCCGCGATCTTCTCTCGTTAACTGTCTTATTCGAAAGCAAAACTAAGGATTCGATCCATATCCCATATCAATATCCGTGTCATACCATGTCGTGTCAACATGAATACTTCTCCATTTTTGGAGAGTCCAACCATCATAGTAGATCACCTTCAAGGAATACATTTTTTACATCAAGCTATTCAAAATGCAATCTAGATAAGTCGTATGGCAAAGAAGAACTCTAATGGAGTTCATTTTCCCACAAGAGCAAAAGTTTTGTGGTAGTCAAACTCAAACCGCTTTGCGACAAATATTGCCTTATATTTGTCTATCGTTCCATCAACTTTATGCTTTATTATAAATACCCATTTACATTCGATTGGCTTCTTCCTTAGTGGAAGGTCAACAAGCTGCCATGTATTATTCTTTTTCAATGCCTTCATTTCATCATAAAATAGCCTATATATACCTTGGAATAACTAGAACGTCTATATATTTCTTGGAACATAATCAAATGAAGATATATTAGTAGAAAAGATCTAAAGGGTGGAGTCATTATGATTTTTTTTTTATATAGAAATAGGATGCGAAGTGCAAGATCTAACACCTTTTCTATATGCAATTGGTACATCAATATAAAAATGCATGACAAGATTCCTTGTGTTATCTAAAAATTATGTACTTGGTTTCGATTGGTATTGTTGAGGAGAATCAGCTTTATTCTTTCTTGATAAACCGTTATTTCTCGATCTTTATCTTGTACACACTCAAGAGGAGTTACAGATCCTAAGAAGGTGGAGAAGATGGATGATACCGAATGATATTAGAGGTTATATTTACAGTAGTTTCCTTGTATAGACTAATCATATTGCATAGAATTTGGGGATTATTACCATTGTATAGACTAATTAGAGTTTTCTTATATAGATCTGTAATCTCTATAAATTAAAGGTAATATACATGAGAAAATCATTAAGCTAAATTTGTGTCATGATATCATAGCCTAAAATTCTATTTCTCGAACTTGTGGTCGTAGTTTCGTTTCCTAGTGTCATCTTGTGTTTCCAGTAGTCTTGTGTTCTTGGCAGTTGGCACCATCTTGTGTTTCCCCTGGTATTGCGTTATGTAGTCGGAACCTTCGGTGGTCAAATCCAAGGTCGGAGGTGGGGGG